AAATGATTTAAAAAATAATATTTTATTGGTCATGTTTGCAGTTCCCAACTAGCTTTAGTGATCATACCTTGTTACAGGGCTATACTATTTTGTTTTATCAAAACTTTATGTTCAACCACTATAAGTGTATTTTGAAAAAAAAAATATGATTCAAGTTATAAACCTAATTAGGTTGAATAAACTAACTTTATTTTAATTAGATGAAAAAAAATGATAATAGAATAATCAAATTTTTATAAAAAATTATTAGAATAACTTAGGAAATTTTATTTTTTTTAAATGGGACAAATGATGTACATCAATTCACGTCCCATTAAATATGAAAAAATAAAATGGGGAAAAACACATAAAAAATGGTCTTCGCTAACCCGAGTTAGGATGAAAAAATTGTAGCCTTAGTAATCAGGGTCGAGCCAACTTGAGATATCCTGTCAAAACCATAATACAATATTTTAGTTTGAATGGTGAAATTGAAAAAAAATCAATTTAATAAAAAGATTAAATTTTTTTTTGAAAAATAAAGATCAAAATTGATATAAAAAATAATAGGGCATTTATAATCTATGAGTCTTGTCTTTTTATGGAGAGAAAGGAAAAAAGTATAACTTTTTCAAAAAATTCCTAAGAAAGTGCTGGGCTCGAGTAAGGTTCCTAAGCCTTTTAAAGATGAAAAATAGTTCAAAATGCATTGCCTATACTCAAGCATGTTAGGCTCGACATGTGTACCCACTCTTGAATGTGTTGGGCTCGGGGGGTGCTAAAGCCTAAAAAGATAATAGGGTGCATACCGAGCACCAGTTGAGTATCACACCCAGAACCAATTAGGTGTGTTACGTCTAATGCATAGGCTTGGGATCTTACCTGAGCCCATCTCTTTAGGAGCCGGGCTTAGGCTCATTGCCCAAACATATGCTCTTTGGGTGTTTTCTTTGGGCTTTTGTAGATTTTTTATGTTCGTTTTGGGTTTTTTTTAATCCATAGTAGCCCTTAAAGTCGTTGTGATATTAATCCACAAAACTTGTAAAAATTCATAGTTACAATGGTGAGTTCATTTAATTTTTTTTAAATAAGAAAATAGGGTTGAACCCCCAAGTAAGAAACTATAAAATCTGTGTATAAGGGTATGCACCATGCTTGAAAAAAATACTAAATATGTAAAGGGGAGTCATGGAGGAACCCATACTTAAAAAGATTCTTAGAAGAGTCGAAGTGAGATATAAATAACTCTATACTTAAAATATTTTTTTAAGAGGTCATATCATACTTAAAAAGATTTCTAAGTAGTTAAGAGGAGCCATAGAGAGTGAACTTATACTTATAAAAATTTCTAAGAGGTTGGAGAGAATCCAAGAATGGTAACTCATGGAGACGATCATACTTAGAAAAAAATTTAAAGGGTTGAGAGGAACTTATGAAAGGTAAGCCTACATTTAGAAAAAAATTTAAGAAGCTGTGAGAAACTCATGAAGGGAAATTCTATTACATCCTTTGGAGTGTGGTCACACTGTAGTTTGGAAGGTATGTTATCTATATAGGATGACATGAGGGCTTAAAAGCCCATAGAAGGTTGGTAGCCTCCCTATTGATGGCGTGGGGGTTAAGAGTCTCCATATTGAAGAGTGGTGCTAGTTCGAGATTGTATTAGAGAGGCGGGAGATCTAATATCAACTTTTTAAGAAATGGAGAGAGACCTTTACACATCTTCTAAAGAATGAGGCTCCCAGATCAACCTTTTAAAAATTAGTGAGAGGTCCTTAAACATCATCTAGAGAATGTGAGATTCCAAATCAATCTCTCGTGGATTAGTAAGAGGATCATAGGCACTACCTAAAAAATGTGTTGGTCCAAGACTGTGTTGAAGATTTGTGCATAGGTAATGTATGTCAAACATATAATATATTTATTTAAAAAAAAACTCACATTCCCTCTTATAATTGTGCATCCCGAGAAGATCCAAGTGATAATTATGAGGGAGATTTTTCCAAACATGTTATGGAGTTGAGAGGTGCTAGTCTTGGCTGCCTTAATAATCTTGAATGGGTGATCCTATTTTGATTCAAGGGGATAATAAATCCTTAGGATACACCAAATACTTATGTATTAGTTCCTCATGATTCTTTATTAAGCTTTTATTTCTACTAGAAAAATAATTTTGTTGGAAAGGTCTATATTAGTTGTCCATATAATGATGATAAGGCCCATGTTGTCATGAATCAACCTCTTCCACATATATGTGATTTTTCATTACTTGTTTTACATTGAGCAAGTTTATATCGGGCAAGGCAAAAAGTTTTCTCAGAAGGCATGCTTCTTTTCCCTTTTTATCAAGGCCTTTAAGGCTACTAACTCGATTAATTCTTCTACTTTAAGCATTTCTTCTTTGAACCTCTTTAAATACATCCATGTAGAATCACTTTTTTGTTAGATAATGTCAAATAGCTTTGTAAAGCTTTTTTGGATAGGTATGTTGGTGTTGAAGCATGTCATAGCTTAACGCAAAGGTTAATGAACCCTTCGATGAAATTTGACTCTAAATTATTATACCAAGCACATGCAAACCCTTGAAAGTCAAAACATTATATGGATGATTTTGCACATTGAGTCACTATCATGAATGACCAACTCTAAACTTCTATACATTTTTTGTACATACTTTCTCGAGTTAGCCAGACCATTATAATTGTCAAGACTCATGTTTTGTGAAAATGGAGTCCTTAAGGAGTTGAGTATTCAATGCTCATTTAGATAAAGGAGAACATCTAATGATGGGATGATAGTCATTCTCTCAGGTATTTTTATGTACAGACCTTTTTTTAGTCCCTTATATGTTAGGCTTTTCGGATCCTGGGTTGTTTGGCATAGGAAAATGGTTACAATAATTAGTGTACATCTTATGATAGTTAGAGGGAGGGCATTCGGAGTATCAACATTGTATATGGGTATTTCAATAACACAAATAACCCCTTGATGAACTCTCAAGATTGTTATTATGTTTAGTTTTTTTGGGTTGTGTAATTATTTACGGGCACTTAGTGTGATTGGTGGTCATGGTGCTAAGGGGTGGTGTGTTGATAAAGGTGTTAAAACTTTTCGCGGTGGCAAGATTTGATTTTAACCTTAGGTTTTCGACACGGTCTAAGTAATAAGTTACATCTTATTCATAAGTTGTGACACGATCTAAGTAATAAGTTACATCTTATTCATAAGTTGTTTAAGGTCTGGTTAGGTAGAGTGTTAATGGTAACATGTAAATTTATCCTACATCCTGACATATGAGTTTATTAGTTATGTGTCATGGAATAACTTGGAAATGTCAAAAACAAGTTTTAGAAACTAATGGCTTTTTAACTAGTTTCTCACAAATGGCATCAATTGATGAGTCCAAAAATCTATGATACTTAGAAATAAGGTTGATGTGTTAGATAATTGGTTGATCTTTTAATTCAAGCAATATGATTTATTTTTTCTAGTCAAGGTATCCGGTAAATTCATATGAAAAACCAGGGGATTGGTAACTGATAGCAGATGATACCTAATAATTTAAGGTAACCGATAATTATAGTAGTAGAAGGTGATGTTTAATAGATATATTTACAAAAGATCGTCTTTGATAGATATGAGGAAGATAAAATCAGTAACTTTATAGGGAAAAAAAAGTGCATTGATATTTTAAAGAGATAGACTATAAAAATATACATATTAGAAACATTAAGAATAAAGAGATTGTGAATTTTGAGTTTGAATAATTCATGTAATATTTATAACCCATAAATTAAATAACTCATAAATCCTGACCTTTAATTAAAAAAAAAACTCATGTATTTATAACACGTGTGTAGAAAAGATGTAAACTAAAGCCCCGTTTGTTTGCAGGAAAGTTGTTTCCTTTTGAAAAGTGAATTCTGAGGAAAGTGAATTTCAGGAAAGTGAATTTCGAGGAAAATGAATTCCTGAAAAGTAAAGTATTTTCCGATGTTTGGTAGTGTTATGAAAAATGAACTGGAAAACATTTTCCAGTGTTTGGTTATGTTATGGAAAATGAACTGGAAAATAATTTATTAATATTTTATTTTTCTCAAGTTTATTAAAATAATAAGGAATAAATCTTACAAATTAAAAAGTTGAATAATAATGAAATTGAAAAAAAATTCATAAATTATCTCAAATAAAATTATTAATAATCAAAATAATAAAGATCAAATCTAAAAAAAAGATGAAGAAATTAAAATAATAATAATTAACATTTCATAAAGTATTTCAAATAAAATAAATAACAATCAAAAGAATAAGGACTAAATTTGATAGAAAAAAATTTCAATAAAAAAATAATAGGAGAAAAGCAAATAACAATTATAAAAATGAGGACCAAAGTAAATATAAAAATTAAATTTTAAGAAATGAAATTAAAAAATAAATATTCAAAACAAAATATATATAGCAATCAAAAGTTTGAGGATCAAATTTGATATAATCAGCAAATAATGACATTTCTAAACTTTTCATAACTTTGAGAAAGTGTTTTCCTTCTAAATTTTTCAGGAAAACACTTTCCTGAAAATCAAGCTAAATTTTTCTTTGATTGAAAAGTGTTTTCCGTTTATCAACTTTCCTAACAGCAAACAAATACAAGAAAGTTTGGAAAGTATTTTCTTAGAAACCACTTTCCGGAAAACAAACACAGCTAAAAAGGAAAACACTTTCCTGAAAATTAAGCAAAAAAAAATTTGACTAAAAATATTTTCGTTGACCAGAAAGTGTTTTCCGTTGACTAATTTTCTTAATGACAAACAAACATAGAAAAGGAAAATTTAGAAAGTGGTTTTTCAGAAACTGTTTTCCAGGAAACGGCCTAAGAATATTATTTTTGCACATTAAAAATTGGCGATGGATTAAGAATGTCCTCATCTAGGTGTGATAAAAGGGGGTGCAATCCACTGCGGAGGAACTATAATAATTATTGAATGCTCTGATCAACTTTGATAGTTACATCCAGGTTTTACGACTACCATCCTTCCTGAAGGAGAACCCTTCGCTGCTTCTCTTAGGGAGTTCTCAATGCTGCTTAATTTAGTGAACTGTGAGAAGGTTAGACAGTTTCTCGCACCACATCGCAGGGGTCTCTTCTTGGCTGAAGGCATTCTCTTAGCAGAGAAATCATCATTTCCAAATTCCATGTGTATTCGTCGCTCAATTCGTTTACTATTCTTTCCCGGAGCAGTTTTCAGCTTGCATTGCTCCCCGGCCCCCTAGGAAGCTGCATGCTCTTCCCTCGAGATCGTCCCCTTTTCCTTTGCTTTATGCCAAAAACCTTCACCCCCTGCTCCGAACAAGGACCTCCTGACCTCCCTGTGTGCCCACTCTCAAGTAGAGCCATCTTTTCTGTAGAATGTCTTCTAGAGTGCTTGCCAGGCACTTTAGAAGCTAAATCATAATAACATGACATTGAGCTCTCTGCAAATTCACCGACCAAGAATTGAAAGCATACGGTACATTAAAGCAAGCAATTCGAATAAAACATAAGTGAGGTAACAAATTGTTCCATTTCATTTCTGATTGTAATAGAAATTCTTTCACCTAGCAAAATAGAAGAATGGGACCGGAAGAAAGGCTACAAAATACCAAACATCCCCTCCTACATGTACAATAGCAAAACAAAAGGTGACAACATAATCAAGTAAATAAGCAAAAATCCGCTCTGAAAACAGAACTAAATCACTGTGAGACACCAAGCCACTTGGTGAAATTCTCGAACTCGGTGTAATCGCTGTCAGAAATCATGGTCTTGTACCATGCCCTTCCTGCAGCCTTAGCAGCAGCTAGCTCCTCCTATTGGTTTCATAAGCAAAGAAACATTGTTAATAAAGAAGTAGTAGACAAGTGCAAGACACGCCAACAAAACAAACTAATTGCTGTCTGTGGCAAAACCTATAGTATACAAGAGATTAGATTTGGTATAGCGTAATAATTGATGAACATAGTGATGCTCTGAAAGCTTAGCGGTGAACAAAACTCCACCAAAATGTTCTGACAGTAGTCTATACCACTACACCACATTATTCTGACATTCTTAATACACAAAAAAAATAAAATCACATTTAACAGCTTCCATACACATTACCAAAGCATAAAGAAGGAACCGCCTAATCATTTACATATAGCTATTAACAATATATCACTCTCAAGCAGGAAAAAACAGATAGATAGCCAGCATACCTTCGACACAGGTTTCCTCTTTCTGTCGAGCTTCTCCTTCTTGGCCTTCACGCGCTCTGCTTCAGCCAGAAGGGCCATCCTCCTAGCAGTCTTAGCATATGGATTCAATTTCAGCATCACGTTCAAGTTCTTCAATGGGTTCTTCTTCAAAGGTGCCCTCTTAAACTCCTTCTTGATTGGATTCACAACGCTCTGAACCTCGTCAGAGTTGATGATCCTAGCCAAATCAGCATTGACCATCTTGGTCCTAGGCAGCACATAACCCTTCTTCTTCTCGGAAGACCTCTCAAAAGTCCCATATATTGAATCAAGCTTCTCGATAGCTGATTTTGTCCAGATCACAAACCTTCCAAGATGACCGCCGGGAGCCAGCCTCAACAAGTTCAGCCTCTCAACGTTAGCCACCTCCACTCCTGGAATATTACGGAAGGCCTTCACCAACTTAGCACCTTCGGTTCCGTACACAATCAGGGGTCCCTTGCGGGAAATGTACCTCCTGTTCCTCATTTTCCCCTTACCAGGCCGGATCGCTTGAGAATCCTTGGCCTTCTCGGCATCTGGATAAGCACCAATTTCCTTCAGCACCTTGATAGCAGTGGATGTTTTTTCAATGCTCTCCGCCGAATCAGAGATAACCAGAGGCATCTCAGGGACTGACTCCACCCGGTGACCGCGTGCCATTACCAATGAAGGTATAGCAGAGGCAGCAATAGCTGAAACGACAGCGTATCGCTTTTGGTTGACGTTAATCTTCCTATGCCAGCGGCGCCAGATCTTGGTAGGAGCAAACATGCGTCCACCACGGCACATGTTTCCAAAAGCTCCCTGACCAGCGCGGTGAGTTCCCCCACCAGAAACGCGGGGGATTCGAGAAACGGCACGACCGGTACCCCAAGATTCGGCTGAAGTCTGGTGACCGGCCGTCTTTGAGACGGCGTAAGGTTGGCGGCTGTTCTTGGAGATGTTGGAGTGGGCAAAATTGACGATGTCTGGTCTGATTGAGGCCTTCATGACATCGGGGAGAGCCACGGTTGTGACAGAATCAGTGGCCATGTCATTGAGGGACGTCGGTAGATGCTGAACGGAGACAAGGGGGCGGGCGGCAGCGGCCATTTGGCGGGGGGGGGGGTTTTTTTTTTTTTTTTCCAGGGGGGTGGTTGCTCTAGGGTTTTGAATTGAGTAGGGGTTGAGTGAAATCTATATATATATGGGATCTTTTAGGGTTCATCGGAGCTTATTCTGTGTGTTTTGTTTCTCGAATAAGGGTATTCTAGTACGCTGATAAGGCTTGTTTGGCTTTTTTCTTTTTAAATGAAAAACTGAATTATTTCTAAAACTTCAAGAATCAAACTAAAGTTTTCCGTGTCTTTTGAATACCAAGTTTTTTTTTTTGTTTTTTTTCTTTATTCTCTGAATTTCTTTTTTTTTTAACTATAATTAAAATTATATTTTACAAAATCAATCTTTAAATTAACACTTGATCAGCCTTCGACACTTCACAAACGCAAAGTGAAAAAAATCCCAACACAAAAAAACTTTATTAATAAAATTTAGATGGGTAAAATTATAAAAAAATATATATTTAATAGTAAAAAAAAAAAATTGTAGAGATGAAGAGAACAATCTATAATGTTCTGAGTATTATAGGTAAACAGTGAATTGCATTGTTCATTTCTCTAATTTTTTCAGTATCTTTAATAATAATAAAAATCAGTTCTCTCGTATAGATTCTAGATAAAATAAATATTTAAAATTAATTTTGAATGACTCTTGTAGAAAGAAAAATTTGATTGGCTTGGGATTGTAGAGTTAGTAAAACTATGAGCAATGTTTTCTCTAGTTAATCAATTAGGTTCTGCAAGTTAAATATGTAAATCCAATATATTAAATTTAAATTAGCTTATAGAATGTTGGTTACTAATTAATGTGATTTCGTATATTTTTTCTCTTATTGAAAGTTCCAACAAAACTTAATTTTTGATATAAGAAAAAATATTCACCACTCATTAACATTCTAAATCTAATAATCTCTGTAAATCTCCACATGAATATGGGATTGAAGGTAATATGACCTTGGCAGGCAATGAAAACTCAGAATGATAAGAAATAAATAAACAATGGTAATAATAATAAATATGATGTGTAATAAAGAGTGTGATCTATAAAAATAAATCTACAGGCATTGTTGAAGTTAAAACTAGGAATTATTAATTTCAGTTTAAAATTCATAATGTTGGTGAAATTATTAACAAGTTTAGATGGATAAAAAAATTATAAAAAATCTAGATGAATGTGTTTTAATGATGGGAATGAGATATACAAGTTAAGAAAAAATTATACAAAAAATTATTGGCTCAAACCTTAGTTAAAAATTGATAATATTTATTGTGATGTATATGACATCAATAAAGGATAAGGCTATTGAATTGAGGAGGATTTAGAAATGTTTGGAAAATAATTATAAAAATATAATTAATAAGGTTTAGAAGTCACTACCTCGTTAAAAACCTTTAATGATTTGTGAGGGTTTAAGTAAAAAGACTAGTTATACATGAAAAAGACATATTTTTTTATTATTTTTCAGTATTGTTTAGGATATTTTTACTTAGTATATAGTTATTTAGCTTATAATTAGATTTTTTTAGATTTAGTTTATTTTATAATAATATTATTTGTATAAGGTTGCTTATATTTTTTATTTTTTATTGAGTTTTTTTATTTATTAAAGATTAATTGTCATTGTGGTATTTTTTATGCTTTTAGTTCGTAATTCATTATACTCACAAGGTTAGAATTTTTTTCATCTAATATTTTTTTGTTTTGGTTCATATAATTATTGTTTTGAGATCTTTATTATAATTTAATTTTAGCTTTTTATTTTTTTTATTGCACGTGGATTCACTGGTTCTTTCTTTTGGGTTTGCATCAAACTCTATAAGGTAGATTAACATATAATAATAAACAAAATGACCGTTAATATTATAAAAAAAACAAATTACATGAATGTTATACTATGGAATAAAATCCTAAATATAATTGTAATAATTTGATCATAATGAATCTTGACTAAAATTTAAGGAAACAAAAAGTAATAATCATAAAGGTTTGTAAAAAAAAACTTGCCAATATATTAAAAAAATTATTATAACCTTATTTGAAAAAAAAAAAAGAGCTAAAACTGAATGTTATCTAACAAAATAAAATCCTAAATGTCATGTAAATCATTTTATTATAATTAATTTTAATCAAAATTTAAGAAAAAATTAAAGAAAAAAACAAAGGGTTCTTTAAAAAAGCCCACCCGTCTTGGATCCGGTAGGCTAGTGCAACAAGGGATACGAAAAGAAGGCAAGGTGTACACAAGACTGCAAATGAGTCTCTTACATTTAGTCTCAATTTTTTTCCTTGTTTGATAGGGCAAACATCAAGTAATTAGCCCTATTTTATATACATATATGATATGTTGCTTGCTTGAGTAAATTTTAACCTAGCTGAAAAGTAAGGTTTGAACTAAATTGAATTAAAAAATTAATTTTTAATTTTTTTTATATAAAAATATCCAATAATTTTTTATTTTTTTGAATTTGAGAAAATCTCATTATCTAAAAAATATATTTTATAAATTTAGATGAGCGAATAAAATTCCAACTGTTTCAAGCTCTTATAAAAAATACAAATTCTAACTTAAACTTAAAACCTACTATACATATCTCAAATTCTTTATTATCATGTCATGCCTTAGTAAACATTATTATAAGCCTTAATAAATTCAAGGTTTGAACTAAATTGAATTAAAAAATTAATTTTTAATTTTTTTTATATAAAAATATCCAATAATTTTTTATTTTTTTGAATTTGAGAAAATCTCATTATCTAAAAAATATATTTTATAAATTTAGATGAGCAAATAAAATCCCAACTGTTTCAAGCTCTTATAAAAAATACAAATTCTAACTTAAACTTAAAATCTACTATCCATATCTCAAATTCTTTATTATCATGACATGCCTTAGTAAATATTATTATAAGCCTTAATAAATTGATTTTTAATTTTAAATCAACTTTTAATTGATTAAAGAATTGAAAATAAATGCAATTTCTTTTATCGAGATCTGATTTTATATATATATATATATATACACACACACACACAGGATGAAAAGTCAATTTATATGAACTTCTCTTATCATGAGAAATTCAATATCATTAAAATCAACTTAGAATATCTTTTTTTGCACAATAAACATTGGCGATGGTTGAAGACTGCCCATACAGGGCGTGATGAAGGGGGAGGGACTGTAATAATTATTGAAAGCTCCGATCAACTGACTGAGATAGCTACTACTAGCTGGCTTTCCCGCGATTTGTTGCGGCGGATTCAGAGCCCGTTTACTATTAGGACAGCGAATATTTTTCAAAATATATTTTTTTGAATGAAAATGCCTCTCAAGATCTGCCTACGCCAATGCTTCACAACTCTAATGTTCTCTCTTCTGTGCTTCAGTCCAATAAACTACCATGAAAGCAAAGAGAATATAATCAAAAGATTATAAACGATTCAAAAGACCCGTAAAGTATAATCAGCAGAAAAGTAAAGAAGGGGCCATGAAATCATTAGAGTTTGACAAATTCTTGCTGTCTTGAAGTCCAAGAAGTGAACATTTCAGTCACAGACAACAAACCATTACCAAAACCTTCAGGTTTTTCAGGAAACAATGGAGGCAGACTTGGTTCCTAGTAACTTCAATCCTTTCACTCATCAACTGCTTTATACCCGCTTAAATCAATCGACAAACCATTAACAAGAACTCACAGAAAGACTGCAAAAGATTCTATCTTCTGTAAGAATAAGACATGAGCATCCATCAAACGCAAGCAAAAAAACTAAGTAGCAAACGTACGGGAAAAGAAAATTCTAAATGGGAACTAATCATGAAAGAAAAGAGCCTGGATTCATACACTGTTTTGAAGCTCCTATGCTAAGGCTCTCATTGTACTGCAATCAACAAATTAGCGAGTGATACGCAATTCAGATATGTGCATGTCAAAAGAAACAGCATTAGTTTGCAAGAACGTGACCAAGCCCTAAAAAAAATTGCATTTGTGGAAGAAGAAAAGTTCAAAATCCAACTTAGACTTGCAAACACCTAAATTTTAATCCAGTTCTAAAAATTTTCTGTAGAGAAACTTACAGAGATGAAACAACAGTATCAATCCTCCCATATGCTAGAGTTGTGCAGCACATAGGGAGACCTGTGAAAAGAGAAAAAAGTAACAATTGTAAGCCCAACAATTTTCAAGCAATGAGGATGGCGCCAAAAAAGAACAAAAAGAGCTGGGGCACCAGGATGGTACCATAACAGGGAAAAAAATATTTAATTGGCTTGGTTAATAAATAACTTTTCAAGCCCCTCATACATAAAACATAGATTACTCCTGGTTGTAGCCTGTCTAGGCCTAGGAGAAAATGAGAGCATCTTTTTTGATCCACTTTGATTACTTTTTTATATGACTGGAATGTTTTTATGAAATCCTTGTCTGTAAGGACTTCTGTCCATTTAACAAATGAAGCCCAGAAATTTTTGTCGATCTTGATAGATGTTAAAGAGAGGGCTTTATTTACTCAAGCGGATTGTACATAATATCGATTAAGCCAAATTTGTGCACTTGATTAAGACTTAATACCGTTGTACTTGAAACATAAGAAAGCAAATATGTCCATTATCAGTAAGATTTGCCCTGTTGTAGGTTGCAGACTCCTTAGCTGTATTTTCAGCAACTGGTTTACGTTTTTTTGGAGACAGTGCTTGCATTTCCATTGCCAATGGCACTTCCGTATTCTTCATTGTCTCCATAGACAGGAAGCTTGAACTTTTCACTCCTTAGCTGTATTTTCAGCAACTGGTTTACGTTTTTTTGGAGGCATTGCTTGCTTTTCCATTGCCAATGGCACTTTCCTCATTCTTCATTGTCTCTATAGACAGGAAGCTTGAACTTTTCAACTGCTTCAACAACTCCTAGCCTGTGGACCATAAATGTGAACACTTGTCAAGTAGACAAAAAAGATTGTTAAGATCCACATGAAGGGCGGATAATGAAAGAATGCTGGATGCAGCAAAACATGTGAAGTTAAAATTTGACCTTACCTAGCCATGGCCTCTTCATCAGGAAGGGTTTCTTCATTGATTTCTGGCATGTCATCTTCATCCAGACCTAGAGCCTACAAAACTGCATAGTGTCTCTGCAAACATGGGATAAACTATTTTGGAAATCACCGAGGAGGAGAATCCAGCAAACATTAAAGAAAATAAAAGAACCATTAATAAAAAATGAACTTATTAGATCTTGGTGGCTATGAAAGGGAAACATACATCAAAGGAAATTGATGAACAGGCAAGAATAAAAGGGAATTATATGGCAAAAAAGAAAATGGATCAGGCAACATACCTAAAAACTGTTGATAAAAGAACAAACCAGTCTATGCATTTGCCTTTCTTGGGTCTCTGTTCTCTGATTTGAGCTGAAACAGCAACAATTTACAATAACTGTAATTTACAATAGCATGAGGTCGTCATAGTAGAGGATCGTGAACAACAGTGATAAAGCCAAGGGCAACATAACCCATTCAAATCAGCAGACAGAACCAAGGAAAAAAACAGAAAGAGCATCCTGGAAAAAATGCTAGCAATTGTGAAAGGAGAACAGAAATCCCTTTCTCCAGACAGGCAGGGCAACAATCGATGTGAATAATTAATTATTGAAGATTTCAAAATTGAACATGGCTAAAAACAGTCAAATATACTTTTCGTCTTCATCTTGATAGAGCATGAATTTCTGTCTTTGCTTTTGATTCTCTTTTTTAGGATTAATTGAAGTCTTCTACATAACCAGAGCTACGAATCAGTTATAGACATCCATATGAACATTTATGTTGGAACTGTATATATCCCAAATCAAACCCCTCTACTAATTCCCATCAAAAAAAGAATTGACTTGTGGATAATACACACATCAAATTAAAATTGATTAATGATACTAACAGAAACAGAAAAATTAATTTTAGATTTTAATTATTAGAATTTGTGTGTCAGCTATATCAATGTTTTAGATTTCAAATTGTCATGCAATCATATGATTGTGATGGATGCTAGCTCATTGTCTGTTCTAGATATGAATGAAAGAGCATGTTGCTAGAAATCAATGATTCCAAGCAGGGAAGGATTCAAAGTCTTTGTTGAATGCAATGCATGGCCATGATGCACCAGAAAATTGATGCAGGTTCATCTAAACTCAAAGAAGACAACCCCAGTTGAAAATTCGAATCAAGCATGACATTGAACTGTCGAAAAATCAGCTAACTTCCATATCTAAAATCATTCAATAGCACAAAAAACAAAAGTCTAATCAAGCCTTCAGCTTCTTTGTTTGTCAGTGCAGTGCCACATCAAGAAAGATTAGGTTGGATCTTGATCCATTTTAATGACATTAAATGGAGGATGAAAAAACGTTGCGGTTTGACACGAGGCTGGCACTTGTTATTTGATGATATAAACTACGATTTTACCAAATAAAAGCTACAAACTTGGTGACTGTCAAGGAATTAATAGACTTCTTCGAATCCAGATCTCATTGAAATGATTATATGTGCTTATTAGGAAGTTCATGAGCTAAGCTTACATGCAACTTTTTTCAAAAAAAGAAGAGAATCTGTAAACTTGGTCATTGTAAAGAAATCAAGAGATTCGACGAATATGACTCCTGAAAAAATGGTGAAAATAACATAACAGCAGAAGCTGGAGTTATACTTATCACCTCACTGTCAGGAAGCTCAGCAACGATAATCTTACCTCCAACCCTTTACATTTGCTCGATCATCAAAATAATTAATTTCCAATTTCTCTGTTTACAATAACTATATATGAAATTGATTAAACAACAAATTCATAATACATGACATTAAGCTCTCTGCAAATTCACCGGGCAAGAATAGAAAGCATACGGTACATTAAAGCAAGCAATTCGAATAAAACACACGAGTGAGGTAATAAATTGTTCCATTTCATTTCTGATTGAAATAGAAATTCTTTGACCTAGCCAAATAGAAGAATGGGATTGGAAGAAAGGCTACAAAAAACCCAACATCCCCTCCTACATGTACAATAGCAAAACAAAAGGTGACAACATAATCAAGTAAATAAGCAAAACTCCTCTCTAAAAACAGAACTAAATCACTGGGAGACACCAAGCCACTTGGTGAAATTCTCGAACTCGGTGTAATCGCTGTCAGAAATCATGGTCTTGTACCATGCCTTTCCTGCAGCCTTAGCAGCAGCTAGCTCCTCCTATTGGTTTCATAAGAAAAGAAACATTGTTAATAAAGAAGTAGACAAGTGCAAGACACACCAACAAAACAAAGAACTATTTGCTGTCAGTGGCAAAACCTATAGTATAAAAGAGATTAGATTTGGTATAGCATAATAATTGATGAACATAGCAACGCTCTGAAAGCTTAGCGGTGACCAAAACTCCACCAAATTGTTCCGAAAGTAGTCTATACCACTGCACCACATTATTCTGACATTCTTAATACACAAAAAAATAAAATCACATTTAACAGCTTCCATCCACAATACCAAAGCATACAAAAGGAACCGCCTAATCATTTCACAATCACAGTTAACAATATATCACTCTCAAGCAGGAAAAAACAGATAGATAGCCAACATACCTTCGACACAGGTTTCCTCTTCCTGTCGAGCTTCTCCTTCTTGGCCTTCACGCGCTCTGCTTCAGCCAGAAGGGCCATCCTCCTAGCAGTCTTAGCATATGGATTCAATTTCAGCATCACGTTCAAGTTCTTCAATGGGTTCTTCTTCAAAGGTGCCCTCTTAAACTCCTTCTTGATTGGATTCACAACGCTCTGAACCTCGTCAGAGTTGATGATCCTTGCCAAATCAGCATTGACCATCTTGGTCCTAGGTAGCACATAACCCTTCTTCTTCTCGGAAGACCTCTCAAAAGTCCCATATATTGAATCAAGCTTCTCGATAGCTGATTTTGTCCAGATCACAAACCTTCCAAGATGACCGCCGGGAGCCAGCCTCAACAAGTTCAGCCTCTCAACGTTAGCCACCTCCACTCCTGGAATATTACGGAAGGCCTTCACCAACTTAGCACCTTCGGTTCCGTACACAATCAGGGGTCCCTTGCGGGAAATGTACCTCCTGTTCCTCATTTTCCCCTTACCAGGCCGGATCGCTTGAGAATCCTTGGCCTTCTCGGCATCTGGATAAGCACCAATTTCCTTCAGCACCTTGATAGCAGTGGATGTTTTTTCAATGCTCTCCGCCGAATCAGAGATAACCAGAGGCATCTCAGGGACTGACTCCACCCGGTGACGTTTGGCGGTGAGAGGGTGTGTGCTCGTGAGAGAGACGGGGAGAGCGATAGTTTGTGCTCTAGGGTTTTGAAGTGAGAGGAGGGTTGAGTGAAATATATATTTATATCCGATCTCTTATGATGTGTGGAGCCAAATACATGATTTGTTTTTAATTTTATACGTGATTTGAATTAAATTAATAATTTTATATTTAGAACAAAATATTAAATTGTAGAATTGAATTGAATTATTTTATTTAAAATATTTTTAGATTAGTAATCTTTATTATTTTATTTTTAATTTAGAATTTTTTAACAATAGCAGGAAATGCTAAATGAAAAGCTAAAAATAAAAATATAGATATTACTTTGGCATTTTAATATTTGTTTTAACTAGTTAAGGGTAGTGCTGCATAATATATTATTTTACCATTTCTCTTGTAAAAATATTAAATATTATTTATTGACTAACTTTTTTAAAAATATATATATATAAATATATATATATTTTTAGTTTATTTTTTATGAGATTATTTTTATTTTAAATTTATTTTTTAATTTTAGATTGAATAAAAATCATTTAGATTCCTTTTAAATTTATTAAATCACTTGTATCATATCCGATTATTGTAATAGTTGGGTTTTAAATATATTAAAATATATTTAGGTCATGTTTATTTTTATATTTCAAAATATTTTTAAATAAATTTAATATTTATATTTTTTAAAATAAATTTAATATTTTATTTTAAAATAATATTTTTTAATATTTATATTAAAAAAATAATATATTACCAATCTCAGTCTTCTAAATAACATCTCGGAGATGCTTTGACCCCTCATTCTCCAAAGTTTAAAAAAGGGATCACAAGTGCCTTCCAAGATCATGGAGGAATGATACCATTACCATTAGATCAGGGGCCAATTAGTAGTTCTTGGGATTTTAAATGGATTGATATTTTTAGCATTTCAAAAGCTAAATATCACCAGCAGCTAACATGGAGAAGCTTGGTTTTGCGATTACAAATATTTATTTGCATCAATACGTGAAATCTTTCAAGGCACCTTATATCATATTACAAAATCCGGATACCTTTGATATTACAAAATCGGGATATCCAATCATGCAGGCAAGAAAATTTGTAAAAATTTACTCAATACATTGTGAAAAATGGTTATTGCAACTGAAGGGGTGTGTTCAATGGAAAGTGTATATATATATCTTTCAAATGCTTGTTTTAAATGCTTCAAAGAAGTGTCGAACAAAATATTAAAATGTATTTTTTAAAAAAAAAATATTATTTTTATCAAAACCAAAATAACAAAAAAATAAATCAATTAAATGCATCATGTGAAAGAAAATTCCATCAAACTCCTTAAAGATAAAATAAAATCTTTTTTTCTCTCACTCCAATACAATTGATTTTTTTTTTAATATGGTTAAAGGAAAACATTATTTATTGAACTCCTCTAGTAAAATAAATTATTAACATCAACATCAATATGTTCCCTAGTTGGAATATGCTTTAACAACCTCTCTTTTTTTTTTTCCTATGATTTTCTTTTTTATCTCTCAATGCGAGTGGACAAAAATATGAAAAAAAAATTAATATCAAAATACAAAATCCTAAAACTTCAAGGACCAAAGTAAATTTTTTCATGCCTCTTTAATTATAGGCTTTGTTGTTTTTAGTCCTTATTCTTTCAATTTATTTATAGAAAAATTACCCCAATCCTCCTTTATTTAGTCATTTTTCCTTGTTTATAAGTTTTTATCCTAGATGATAATATTATCTTGCATATAAGAATTTGTAAATATAAACTCTATTTAAATATTCACCAAAATTCAATTTATCTATGGAAAAGAGGCAATTTAACGGAAGAAATGAGTCGAACAAATATGTTTTCAAGGATTGAAATGTTTACTACTAAACGTAAATTTCTTTGATAAAGAGTAAATTTAAATATGCAAAATATGTTGTTTCTTTCTCCAACTTATGTTATCCCCCCCAACACAAACACACATGCACACACATAATAAAAATCTCATTCACTTGTAATAGAAGGCCAAAGCAATCTCAACAAGAAAAATGCGGGGTGTTGTTATACCTCTTAAAGACCTTGAGTGTCTAAATTGTTTTTCGTTACTTAACCACCTTTTAAGTTAAGGACATGAAGAGAACATCCTTCTCTTCTAACACCAAAGTCAATTGATACTAACCAATATTATTTGAAATAGGGTGTGCAAAATTATTAATGTAGTTGATACCTTTTTTTTTTTAGATTAACGTGGGTGTCCGGGCCAGCTTGCGTGCACCACGACTAAAATTCTCATTATTCATGAAGAAGAACAAAATTTTAGTTTGAATTTGTGTGTACTAGTCAAGTAACCTTTGTTGTTCAGTAGAGAAAGAAAATTGTCTAGTAAAATGGGTTTTTGCAATTTTAAAAATGTAAAGTTTTCAGGATTGAAGAGAGAATCCAGTAATTTTAGATATTTTGTTAATGTACAACACATGTTTGATAAAAATTCAAAACAAAAAGGACAATCTTATAATTATGATAATTTTGTAATTTCACATCAAAAATAATAAAAAGGTAATTTTTAATTGTATAAAAATTTTATAATTTTAACACTACGAGGGTTTTTTGTTCATTAATTGAAACATAAAGTAATCTTGTAAATAATTTGATCTCTTTTTTTAACTTTTTTTTTCACACACATGTAAATTTTTATGGAATTATGAACCATAGGATATAAACTATAATTTCTAAAAGAATAGAGGTGAGGTAAAAAAAATACTTAAATTATAGAAAAGTCAATGTAATTTTTCTTTTTTTCAACTATAACAAAAAATTCTATTTTTCAAAATTTATCTTTAAGTTAACACTATTTGACACTTTACTTTTGCAAAAGTATGCAAAATGAAAAAAAAAATCAACATATAAAACATGCTAATATAACTTAAATGGATGAAATTATAAACAAAAAAAAAGGTTTCAATACCTATAATATGTAAGCGCAGGAGTCACTTATTGTATGGTCATATAGGTAAACATTGTTGGAATCTTAATACAACATGTGATTACACAATTAAATCTGGATATATAACTATTGATAGGATAATATATGTGTTTGTGATTGCTTCATTATTGTGGAAAAATTTAGTACCTGCTAAGATTGAAGTATTTTTTTGCAATTGATGTATGATAACTTGTGTAACAAAAAGTTCTTAGCTTATAAATATATAATATCTCATTAACAAGTGAATTGTCTGTCTTGTGATTATAAAACAAAATCTTTAAGTCATATGTTCCTTAATAATCATACCACAACCTCAACAATCCACCTTAGATTCTATTGTCCAATTAAAAGACTTGAATCTTGAGTTTTTAAAAATAAAAAAAAATTATTTTGATATAATTTTAAGTGAAAAACACTTTAAAAATTATTTTTTACTATAGTATCAAATATGTTCTTAGACCCCTAAAGATATGGACATGATTTTAAATAGTAATGCTATATTTAATTTAACAAGCATGAATTACTACATTTCACTGATCATTATAATGTCAAATTAAAAATATTAAGGTATGGTAGTGGTTATTTTTAAAAGTGTTTTATGCTTTGGAATGTATAAAAATATTTTTTTTATTTGTTTAAATAATTTTTTATATCAGCACATGAAAACGATTTAAAAATAAAAATCAAAAAAATCAAAAAAACATGAAATTCAATTTTAACCGCAAAAACAAATAGTCCTGAAAATACATTAGGATAATTTTAAAAAGCTATGCAAGCTCATTAAATTCACAAGTAAGACTATTAAGAGTCATTTTTGGGATCAATTATATAGGCCATAAAAAATCATGATGTTACCATTTTATGATTAATTTGTATGAGAGAACTTCCCCTATACTTTATTTGTACCTAGATGCAACTTAGCATATTTATTGAGAATTTTCATAAAATAATATGAAGAGACTAATTCTTTTCCAATTAAGTTTTCAGAGACTAATATTTGTGTATGTTATTTATTTATTTTACCTATTATCAATGTATTATATTATTAAAAAAATATTTCAAGTGGAAAATTCTCTTAATTTACCTTTAATTGATTTTATAAATAAGAAAAAGTAGAACCATTTACATTCCTTTGAAGCAACAATTATGAATAGATTCACTAATAGATTATGATTTATCATCAATAAAATAAAAAATCAACCTGGTATAGGACCGCACTTTGTTTCTTTTTTCTTTCTTCTTAATTAACCCTTCCTTGAACTCTAAATTAATCATAAAAACAAAAAATTAATGATAAATATCATGGAAAAAATTATATCAAATTATTGATACGAGAGTATCATCCCGTGTAAAAACTTGCATGGATTTGATGGATATATAATTTTGATATTTGTTTTTAATCTTTATCAGGCATATAAGATGATAGTAAAAATAAAAAAGGCAAACATGAGTAAAATAGAGTTCCAGTTATTTAATAAGTAATAAGTTGAATGAAAGCTGAGGAAATACCACTAAACTAATTTTATTTGAGATTGATCTTGATGGTTTATTTTGATAAATTTGATGTTGTTTTCTTGCTGATTTAAAATAACATCTTACCATTAATTTGTCGCTCGATTTCATAAAAACCTTGTTCTAATTTTTTATTTTTTAAACAATTAGAACTATAAGGATTATAATTGAAGATTAGCAAAAAACATCCAACCTTTTTTCATCCATGAAGGAGAGGAGGAGAAATTTTGTGTGAAAAACAAGGGAAGGGTGAAGATAAAAAAAAAAAAGAAAAAAAAGAGGAAGAAACACTGATTAAAGCCACACCAAAACTCCTTCTCAAACATGTGTCACCTTATAAAAATAGCAACGATGAGATAATTTCAATAATATCATGAAAAATCACTTTTAGAGGTCAAAGAAAGTCGTACAGACCACCCCAAGTATAATGACACCTTCTATATGTTAGCATGTGTAATACACGTGCCAACTTATTTTTGTCTCTTTAGTTTAATTTAATTCTTGATTTTATAACTTTTAAATTAGGTCTTGAAATTTATCCCATGCAATCCAGTCCTTTTCAATTAAGTTCCAAGTGTCACTTTATCCA